CAAGTGCAGTACCTCGGAGTGGTTGCTGCACTGTTGCAGTACATAAAAGATCAAGGCTTTCAGAACAACAGTCAAATTTATGCCTAATAAAGAACAACTTGCCCCAGTTATTACAACTAACTCTCTTCAAAGGAGCTAACTTTAGTGGAGTTCAGTTCTAATGATTCTGGAAGTAGCACTAATGGGGAATTTTGTGAAGTGGGTAACTGTAAAGATCAAGCAAAATAGTTGAGAAATGCTTCCTCCTTTAAGAGAGCTCATACCATTTTCAGAGGGTTGCAGGAAGAGTAGAAAACTTGACCATGCACATAAACATTGACAATTTTATCTAATATTTTCATCTTCTGCTAAAGTGTACACGGATACAAGAACAGTTCGATACATCAATTGGAACATAGAAAATAACTTGGAATATAGTAAAAATCTTGGAAAACAAAAATTAGAAGGCAAAAGACAGAAAATGAAGTAAATACAAGCAGACAAAAAAGGGACTGATGTTTTGAAAGTTTTGAATTAAATACTTCATCACTGAAAGAAAGTGTCAAGATATTTGTAGTGTTTGTATTTTGTTTTATAAAGGTATATTTTCAACATACTGACATTTGTTAGACTTCTTCTTAAATCTATCAGATTTCATCTTCCCTATAGAAAACAGAGTTTTGAGTGTCGCATTCACCGTATTTATCTATATAATAACAATAAGTCAAATCATGTACGTTAGATATCCCATATCTTAAGATGCCAAGTGTTTCGGAGCTGTACTCTGAAGTGGACAGATTTAAATGTTCCCTCACCAAAATAAGTTAACTTCTGAATAACTTGTATGAACAATTAAAGAGGTCCCTTCGTGTAAGACCACTTTTTCAAAATCAAAATTATACACATTGGGTTTAGACTAGCCAAACATATTCAATTTTATCACACAAGTAGTTTGGGGAACTATTTTAAGACTGTATTAAAAGTCTTTACATACTTTTTCATTTCAGACTTTGGCTTGAAAGGAGGTGTGGAGAAGAGAAATGAAGCCTGATCAGATTAAACCATTCTCTCCTCCCTTCATAAACTAATGATCTGGATACCAAGTGCATGTTCATCTGAGGTTATTTATCCTTGAAAATCATCCAAAACTTCATTGAATGTAAACCATGTTGAAGTGTTGTCATTGTTGTAATATACATCAAGAACACTGGATTTTGAAAGACAGCATTGTATGACCATTTCAGTGATTAATTGATACTCTTCATTTTGTCATGTAAACCATAATTTAGTGATTTTGGTACATAATAAAGGGGAAAGGTATAAGGCAACGCATCATTGGTATCAGCGAGGTTTTGGCTTTAATTTATTTGGATAATTGGTATAATTACAAGGGTTGGCTTTATCAAGAGACATAGGAGCAGGGAAGCGTTACAGGAGCTTAGTCAATAAAACTTTGCACTAGAACCTTTGTTTAAAAAAATCACTTAAAGCACCTTGGCATGTTTATCTACAGGCAAGGTACAACTGCAAATCATTGTTGCTTGCATTTAAGCCAATATCTGAATCATTTGGGATTTTTTTTGAACTACAAGCAGGAAAATCATAGTACAAACAACAGACATTTTAGTTAATGAAACTGGCATGAATGTTCACACTGCTGGTTCGCTTTCTTTATATATTTATTAAGTTTAATGTTAGATTTCCATAAGTAAGCATATATGAGTGGGTATAGTGCCGGAAGATTGGAGAGAGGCAAACGTCATTCCCTTGTTCAAAAAAGGGAACAGGGATAACCCCGGAATTACAGGCCAGTTAGTCTTACATCAGTGGTGGGCAAATTATTGGAAAGTGCTCTAAGAGATAGAATGTATGATCACTTGGAAAGGCACAGTTTGATTCGTGATAGTCAGCATGGATTTATGAGGGGTAGATCATGCCTCACAAACCTTATTGAATTCTTTGAAGAGGTGACCAAACACGTGGATGAAGGTAGAGCAGTGGATGTGGTATACATGGGTTTAAATAAGGCGTTTGATAAGGTTCCCCATGGTAGGCTCATGCAGAAGGTAAGGAGGCATGGGATAGGGGGAAATGTGGCAGATTGGATTCAGAATTGGCTGACCCTTAGAAGACAAAGGGTGGCAGTGGACAGAAAATATTCAACACGGTGCTCAGTTACGAGTGGTGTACCACAAGGATCTGTCCTGGGTCCTCTTCGATTTGTGACTTTTGTAAATGATTTGGATGAAGAAGTGGAACGGTGGATTAGCAAGTTCACGGATGATACGAAGGTGGGTCACGTTGTGGACAGTGCGGAGGGCTGTTCTAGGTTACAAAGGGACATTGATAGAATGCAGAGCTGAGCTGAGAAGTGGCAGATGGAGTTTAACCCTGAAAAGTGTGAGGTGATTCATTTTGGAAGGACAAACTTGAAAGCAGAATACAGGGTTAATGGAAAGATTCTTGGCAGTGTGGAAGAGCAGAGGGATCTTGGGGTTCATGTTCACAGTTCCCTGAAAGCTGCCACTCAGGTGGATAGAGTTGTTAAGAAGGTGTATGGTGTGTTAGCTTTCATAAACAGAGGGATCGAGTTCAAGAGCCATGAAGTTATGCTCCAGCTATACAAAAGCCTGGTTTGGCCACATCTGGAGTATTGTGTCCAGTTCTGGTCGCCTCATTACAGGAAAGATGTGGAAGCGTTGGAAAAGGTGCAGAGGAGATTTACCAGGATGTTGCCTGGAATGGAGGGAAGGTTTTATGAGGAAAGGTTGAGAGACCTAGGGCTTTTCTCTTTAGAATGACGAAGGATGAGAGGTGACTTAATAGAGGTGTACAAAATGATCAGAGGTATAGATAGAGTGGACAGCCAGAGACTTTTTCCTAGGGTGGAGGTAGCTATTATGAGGGGACATAGTTTTAAAGCGGGTGGAGGTAGATACAGGGGAGACGTCTGAGGTAGGTTCTTTGTTCAGAGAGTGGTAGGGGCGTGGAATGTATTGCCGGAGAGGGTAGTGGAGTCGGCCTCATTAGGGGCATTTAAGCGGCTATTAGATAGGCATATGGATGATAGTATGAGGTAGGGGTGGAGGTTAGATAGACCTTAGGATTATGGTAAAAGTTCGGCACAATATCATGGGCCGAAGGGCCTCTACTGTTCTATGTTCTATGATTGATAGATACAACTTAATGCTGTAACTCAGCAGTGCTGTGGTGAGACAAGTTTCCAATTACCTGCATCACCTAACATTACATGTTGATTTTTTTAAAATCCAAAAACCTTAGCTATTTCTTTTCTTTTAAATCAATCAGCTGTTAACAATATCTCTGGAGTACATATTTTTAAAAATGTGATTCCTCTAATACAACTATGAGTGTTAACATACCTTAAAATTTAAAAATAAATTCTACAAATGGTACTTCAGGTCTATTAAGCACCGGAAAGACTAGTTATTTCATGTGACCAGCGACATTTTGTGGAACCAACTACATAGAGCATAATATTTTTCTGAAAAATGTCTTGAAAAGTGTCGCAAAAATTGGATAAAACTCAATTACTTAGGAGGGTCTGCACTCACATACACACACTCACAGTAATGACTTTCAGCTTCACAATAGTAGGAAAGTTTCTAAACTATTTTTATTGAATGAGGGCAAGCTACGTTCTCGAACAGGTGGAGAGTGTCACGTTCCTCGGAGTGACAATAACCAACAACCTGTCCTGGACTTCCCATGTAGATGCGACAGCCAAGAAGGCACACCAATGCCTCTTCTTCCTCAGGCAGTTCAGGAAATTTGGCATGTCCGTAAGGACCTTCACCGACTTCTGAAGATGCACCATTGAAAGCATACTGTCCTGGTGCATAATGGTCTGGCATAGCAACTGCACTGCCTAGGAATATAAACTACAGAATGTGGTGTGCACAGCCCAGACCATTATGGAAGCCGAAGTTCCATCCATGGACTCCATTTACATGGCTCGCTGCCAACATCATCAAAGATCCATTGCACCCTGGTAATGATCTCCTATAACCTCTTCCGTCAGGCAGAAGATGCAGAAGCTTGAACACACGTACCAGCAGGTTCAGCAACAGCTTCTTCCCAGCCATTATTACACTGATGAATGGACTCTCTAGCCTCAAATAATGCTCATCTTGCTTAGTGCACGCCCTGTGCAATGTAACCTGTATGCCTCTGTCTGAGACTCTTTGATCTGTATATCCTTGCTTACTATGATCTGCCTGTACTGCTTGTAAACAATGCTTTTCACTGTACTTCGGTACACATGACAATAAATCAATCAATCAGGAACACTATTAAACAGATAGCATTTTCTTTTCTCCCTCATAGAACTGGGATGCACCAGTTAGGTAAATGGTCCAGCTAGTTATCATCTGTCTTATTCAAACTTAAGTCTTTACAATTCTTTTTCTGATAAAACATAAGGCAATAACAATTCTGATGATTTTGCTAAAGTGAATGTTATATACTTAGGTTTTTCTCTCTAGGTAATTTTCTACCATTCAGTGTCTCACATTATTCTTGCTAGCAACCTCTCATTTCCCATGTACAAAATCACATCTTTTCCTACCCAATATCTAAACAATTTATCAAAAGCTCAAGGGTCGAACAGTAAACCTAAACACAATATTTTGTTAGATCATAATGATCTTCATGAATTATTGGCCTGTCTACCTCTTTTGAGCTTCATATAAGACTGCTCAGTTAAAACAAGGAAGGTTGTTCTTGGACAAAGAAAATTTAAGTAGGTAGATTAAACAGAAAGCTGATCAAAAATATATTCTGACAGTTTCTACAGATTCATTGCATTTGAATTGAATATTTCAATCTTTTTTCATGGTACCTGGCACAAAAAAATTCCCTTCTTGTACAACTGTGTAATTAAAGCAAGCCAAATCATTTCACTTCTGAAAAGGAGTCTGACTCTTAAACTTGCATACATTGTGCCAAAAAGATCACGTTTTTCATTTTCCCATGCCATGCAACATTGTTGCCAAACTTACCCATCTTTGACTTTAAAACTGCACAGAGTTTGTCCGTACTTTTCTAGTATGTGGATATTAGTTAATCTCTAGGATGCATTCACTATATATTGTTATTAGAAGTCAGACTGGAAAATTTCAGCTCACAAATTTGTTGATCAGTGGAGTGAATAGCAGCAAAAAGATAATTCCTATGGAAATGCACATATTATCGTATTTGACACCAAGTCATTTCCTGATTACTTTGTACAGTAAACTCATCACTCAACATGCTGCTCTGCGTTGTCTTCAGATATCATGTCATTAATGATACGCACTCCTGTCACAGACTTCCAGTGTACTTTGATCCATGATATTTTCTGTGCTTCGGAAAAATGGGTAAGACGAGTCTATAGGATATACCATAAGATACTGAATGCTTGGGAAATAAACTTTGTACACTGGCTTATCTTACACATGATCTCTGATGTTAATATATGCAAACAAAGGCTTTGGCTATTTTATGCACCAGACAACACTTGGTGTGAAGTTTGATTTCCAAGGTTGTGTGGGAATTTTGACAGTCTTTGGTTTAGGCATGTTTGTTATAAGGTAGATAACAAATGTCTAATTTATCCCAGGATAATGATGCCTATTGAATTCCAGCAGGGAAAGGTTTATGAGCAGTTTTAAAAAGCTTATTCGATTAGCTCCAAGCCATGCTGTCAGCTGAGAGTAAATTGTATATTCAGAAATGCACAAGTGCATTCCATATGGCAGATGGGTCATAAAAATTTGCTGGTAACTTTGTTAGACATTGATATCTAGGTAAGTCAGCATAGCTTCAAATTTTCCAATTCTTGCTCCTATCAACATGGAGGGAGATTGGAGGGTAAATTGGCAATTCTTCCAGTTTTGTTGACAGGATTATGAGGTTGTAGCTATGAACAAATGTGAGGACAGTCAACAATTTGTTAGATTAGTAAATATCTACCTAAATTTATAGCCAATGTGTCAGAGTGTTAGCTTGTCATCTATTGTAAACCTCTACACAAACCCACTGCAATGGATTGTTTATTGTATTGGACATAGAACAACAGCATCTCCAGTTAAAAGTAACTAATGACAATAATGTTGAGGTAGTATGATGTCAACAGCAAAGTCACCCTACAATGTGTTGCAAGAGATCAAAGGATGGTGATCCTGAGGTTAGAACTTCTCAGCAACCTCAGTCAGGATAACCAGATGTGCTTGCATCCAAATTAACACTGCAAACTGAATGATAGTGCCCCTTCTCATTCTGTGCACTATGATCTTTGCTGGTGAGAATTTCCATCAGGACCTTTATCATGGTAGAGAGAAAATTATGACAGAGTTCAACCATTAGCCACTTCAAAAATATTTTCCATGACGGCTTCTGACTGTTCCAAAGCATTTGCACAAGATGAGTCTTGATTTAGACATCATTTAGAAGTGAACTGTAAGCAAGGGAAGCAGATGTACATCATCAAAATGCTGTGAAGAGCTGCACTCTCTTTGTAGGATGTTGATGTTGTTAGGACAGAGTCAAAAATTTTCCAGATTAAACAAGCAGCACAACATGTTTATGAAGTCATCAAGCCAGCAGAAGCATTGAATCTGATAAATGTATGCCTCAAAGGTTGCCCACTGGAAATCAAGATCCCACTATTGCCAGAGTCATCACAAAAGTGAGAGATTTTATAAAAGTATGCAGAAGAAACATGGGTGTTATAGGTGGAAGGAAAGATTGAGAAGGCAGTTCAATGGTCTCTGTTCACAGGGTTCACTTCACTGAGATCTTTGGCTTGTCAGGACTTGCTGCTCCTCTACCTTTCTTTTCAAGGTATTTTCACTTGCTAGCAGGAGGCACAGAGTGATTAGTTCATACTTATAAAGTCTCTGACTAATTGGTTAAAAAGTACAGCTTATAGCAACTGATGAGGGGTAATAAGGAAGTTTCTTCAGGCTTCAGATGTTGTTGTTCCACAGAGGAAAGGACAGTACCTTCCATCCCAGAGGTTTGAGTGTTTCTGAACAATCATTCGCATCCACCTTCTGTTCGGATACCCAGGAGCCAAATCACAGTTGTTGGCAGGCAAAAGGTCTTCATCACTGACAACTAGTTCAACTACTTATTGCCAGCTGAATCTACCTTTCCACACAATCCCTGGCTGCAGTGTTTCCCCTCGCTTACTTGAATAAGCGACAGCATAAATAGCACTTACGATGATCATCAGGTAACAGGTTTATTAAAAAAATGTCCAGTAATCTCTTCAACAGTCCTTGGTTTTTAAACCAGCCCTCACTGCATTTCAGTCCACAATCAAAAATGCAGAGCAAATAAATGATACGGTCTTTACATAAAGATCTTGCTCAGATCAGGCAAACGCCATCTCCTCAACTGCTCAAGGATGTCGACATGAAATGCTGCTGTGAAATGATCATTCTGCGGTTGCTATAAGAGAGCATTGCTCATGCAGAGGTAAAATAATGACCACAACAAAAACAGAAGTTGCTGAAAAAGTTTACCAAGTGTGGCAGCATCTGTGTATCAAAATCAGAGTTAACGTTTTGGGTCTGGTGACCCTTCCTCAGAACTCTGATCTTTTCTTCCCAGATGTTGCCAGACCTGCTGAGTTTTTCCAGCAACTTCTGATTTTGTTCCTGAGCTGCAGCATCTGCAGTTCTTATGGCTTTTATTTAGTAAAATAATGGCCTGGTGGTTTCTTGTACAAAGTGATTAAGGTCATTTACTACCACCACGACCACGACCACGACCACCACCACCACTACCACACCCCCAGGCTCCCACCCCCACCAAAGAAGCCTCTTTACACAATGTGGATTAGCCAAAGCAAATATTGGGTTAAAAGGATAGGGTAGCACAATGGTCTGGGTGGGATGCTCTTCAGAGGGGTGTGTGGCCTGCTTCCACATTGCAGAGATTCTATGACAGTCAGTGTTGTGCTTGCAATGAACATCAAACTAAACAGGCTAAAATGTCTCACATAACTCATAATACCCAAGACCATGGAGAAAACTTAGAGTAGACAGCTTCACTATCTGTGGAACTGATCATCTTATCACAACTGACTTCAACTGAAACATCTGGGAGTTTGACCATCTGACATGAATGATGACTCAAGGGATCGCAGAATATCTGAAAGCACACTCCAGTCATCAGGGCATTTGTGACATTGTAATGAGCAAGAAAGGCCCTCAATTACTACTGAAGGATACAGATTCCCTTCATTGTATCCACAGTGAAATGGAAAGTCTTTGTTGAAAATTCTTACAAGAATTATTAACGAATCCACTAGATCCAGCACAAATATACAAGGCATTCTGACAGCAAAGGAACATACCAACCTAAAGCATGGACTGCATTCCAGTCCAGCAAATAATGATACACCAAACTTTGATTACTCTTCCAAAAAGCTACCAAAACCAGTAATACCAGGAGTGAGTGACGCGATTAAAAAGTGAAACATCTGAAAGCCAAATTTCTCCTTATTAAAACTGACAGAATGTTATCTGAGAGTTGGAGAGGAATCCAACATTCAATCCACTCAAGTAAAAAAAACGTCAATTTAGCAACTTTGGACTTGCATGAAGTTGTAACCTCAGTAATACAGGATAATGGTGAATGACTAGGTCTATTATTGCAATTGTAAAGATCTATGCTCAATTGTAAAAGCTGTTCCTGGACATTAATCACCCGATGAGAGGTATCTGATCATGCCATCTAAATGAGGAACTGATTGGCCATCAAGCATATCTGATTTGACACAGCAACAACATTCTCCAAACAATCAATATCAGCATCATTTAAGACAACAGCAGATACAAAAATAAACAACCAACAACAGCCTGCACGTGTATATCAACAATTTATATATGTATATAAACAAAAATTTCCAAACAAGCTATTCGAATAAATTGCAAATACTCATACTATTAAAAGCTTTGGCCATTTTATTCCCACTTGAAATATTGAATATTATTTGGACTGACTGATTATAGCTGGAATGGAGAGCTGCATTAGCTTATGAGCCCCAAAATATACCCTAGTGGAGAATGGGAAGCCAAATCTAAGAGAGGTGTGGTAGTAAAAAGAGTAATCTGCGCTTTGATTGCTTATAATAAATGTTTGATTTCTATAAAGAAGACGTTTAATAAAAAGCTACAGCTGGTAGAAAAGTACAAGTGACTCACTCATCCATCCACTGTGTTTCAGTTTATTGTACTCTTGTCTCAGGGTCAGAAGATTGTGGGTTCAAATCCCACGCCAGGACTTGAGTACAATATTTAGGCTGACATTTCAATACAGTACGAAATGAGCACTGCACTGTTGGAAGGGGAGTCTTTCAGATGCATACAAAAGATCCTGTCGGAATATTTGAAAAAGCAGAAGAGATGCCCCACTGTCTGAACCATTACCTTCTTCTCAGTCAATATCACATAAGATAGATTACCCAGGCACTATAATATTGTTCATGAATGCTTCCTGTTCATGAGTTGGAGGCTGAGTTTCTGACAGGAAATAGTGATATTTCAGAAAGTGCTTAACTGTCTATAAAGTACTTTTGGATGTCTGACAGTCATAGAAATGCTACATAAATGCAATTTCTTTCCCCCTATATGACAACATTTTTTTTTCCAACAACATTAATGATGGAAATAATCCTATCAAGTTAAAATATCCAAAAACTTTCATTCTCATTTCAACACATGTCAATGCTCAGGCAAATTAGTACATTTTTGATACTGCACTACTGGAAAAAAATTCTAAAGGATAATAAAATCCAAAACAATTTTTCACTTTCAGGATTTTCCTTCAGGTTTTGGTGTTTAGCTTTATTAATTCTTTCACACACTGTTTAAAAAATAAAACTTAAATAGGTAAAGTAGGATATGGTTGAGCCAGAAGCTACAATTTTGATCATACAGTTGAGATTTTAATTCAGACAAATGGCAATGGTCTCTGTAGCTGGTTCCTTATTTTCCCTACCCTCTCACAATGTTTTCAACATGGTTTACTTCTGAATTCTGCTGGCAAACAGGGATTATAGATAGAAAAGTGCATCATTCCATTCAATCGGATAAAGAAAAACCATCTGCTTATTACAACAACACATAAAATATCCTTAA